ATTCAGACTGATAGGGCAGCTATGCTTGATGAAATTGTGGATTATGTGAAGTTCTTGCGGCTTCAAGTGAAGGTAAGTCAACGTTAAATCCATTTGGCGTAATTACTCAAATATGGCTCGAGTAATGAGAATGTTACGTGTTGCTTGGCTAGGATCATTTTGTTACATCAACCTCTTCCACTATATTCAATTTGTATATCATATGACCACATATTTTAGCATGTGGAACACCTTAGGGGTTCACTAACCTATTATTATGTTAAATCTAGCAGTTTCCCTGTTTTAGCCTCTACAACAATTAGTGGAGTATGATCTCTCTTTTTCCTTTTCCTTTTTTTGGCCATGGAGATCATGCAACATATTGATATTCATCTCTTAAAACAGTTGCAAATAATTCATTATTTGTCTATGCTTGGTAACTTCTTGTGTATCTTCATGATATAAACTTTTAGGTACTGAGCATGAGTCGATTGGGAGGAGCTGGTGCTGTGGCTCCACTCGTAACCGACATCCCAATAACCTCTCTTGAGGTAATAAAAAAACGAAAAAAAAAAAAAGAAAAAACATTTTTCAACAAAAACTGATCTTTAATTTTATTTTCAATTTTTTTTCTCATACAATATTGTATGATTTTACTCGAGAAGGAAGAAGGAGCTGACGGTAATCGAGCTCAGCCTGCCTGGGAAAAGTGGTCCAACGATGGCACGGAAAGACAAGTGGCTAAACTCATGGAAGAAAACGTTGGGGCCGCAATGCAATTTCTTCAATCTAAGGCACTCTGCATAATGCCCATATCCCTTGCAAAAGCCATCTACCACACACCGCCTCCCGACTCTACCCCCTTTGTGAAATCCGAGTGCGACCCGCCATCCTAATCCTTTCGATAATCAAACCCATGATAATTAGTCCCACTCAATCCAAGGTTTTCCTAATTTTCCACCCTTTTTTTACATATAATCTCCATCTTTAATCATATGCTGGGTTTGACAAAAGCTAATGGAGATGTAGGTAAGGCTAAAGCCATCATGAACTCTCATGACTCATTTGATTGGGAGAAAAAGTCAAACTTTTCTTGATATGCTGTG